ACATAAACAGTAGTTTGCCACTTGTCAGTATGACATTGGCTATTACAAAACAAAACAGTGTTTAATTAACGGCTACTTGCACTCTTAGTAAACGTCTGCGTTTTAACTTCTCTTCTCTTCGTTTCTTCAACACGACATCGTTCTACTCTTCCTTCTTCACAGCTGCTGCTAATCCTTCTGTATCTCGGATTCATCTGCTGCTCTTACTTCAGTTCAGTTGACAATATGATCCAATCTAGAACGCTTGAGGGGGTGTAACTCAATTTATTGGAATATACTAGACCGACACGTTGACAAATAAATACTTTTAGATCTCCCACTCCAAGGAACTCGTCAAATATTCATGAGATAACTTTCGAAAGTACATATCCGACTAATAACAATAAAAAGGAAATGGGTAATGGTGGAGCAATCGTATAGTCCATGATATGCTATAGCACTCTCTCAATTTTAATCTGAGATCATAATGTGTATGTTCTTATCTTAAGAAAACAACATAAAGTAGTAGGATGATGGATATTAGCCCCTTTCTCGAAGATATAGGTTTTATCATAGAAAATGTATTCAAAATCATGTTTGAAAACTTATATTTTTACGTTTTTTTTTTTGTCATGAAATGCTTTAATACAAAATCAAACTTTTATATCTTATTAGTGTAATCAAAATCGCATTTTAAAAATTTACATTTTTACGCGTCACTTCTAAATTACTAAAACACTTCTACATAAATTAAATCGCACTTTTGGCACCTCGTTACTTTAGTTCGTAGCTACCCAACTGGAAACCGGTACGGGAAAGAAAATGATACATTACAACGTGGCCTACGAAACGTCTACTCGTTTTGTTATCCATGCACGATGCTCTTCTTTGCAAGTTGTGGTTATAAACTCAAACCTCACATGCTTTAATTATTCACAATGAATGCAAAACAGAAACAGAGGGAGACACGTACGACTAAAGAAAGTGTCATAACTGGGCAGCTCATTAGTACGATATTGTCCGCTTTGGGCCAAACCTGTACGGTTTTACTGTTGGGTATCTTCTCCAAAAGGCCTCGTACTAATTTGGCTAGGTGGACACTAATATACAAGAGTCTCTTCCCTTGTATTACCGGTGTGGTACTTGGATTGTCCCATAACAATCCTCCCCTCAAGACAAGGACCAAATCCACCAAACAGACGTGAATCAATATCTTTGACCCGCCAGACAAACGCGGATCTCAAATCCTGAGGTCCACCGAATGAGGGTCCCACCAAACTGTTGTCCATCGCCCCAAACCCGCCGAACCAGGCTCTGATAGACTGATACCACTTGTCGAAACCGGGAAGCTCAATTAGTACGATATTGTCCGCTTTGGGCGAAGCCCACATGGTTTTACTCATGGGTGTCCTCCCCAAAAGGCCTCGTACTAATTAGGTTGGGTGGACACTAATATACAAGGGTTGCTTCCCTTGTATTACCGTTGTGGTACTCGGGTTGTCTCGTAACCAATATAGTCAAAATCGCGCTTTAAAACTTATAAACTTACGATTTTACATTTCTAGGTCATTAAAACGTTTCTACACAAAATCTCCATTTTTATAACTTATATAGTTAAAAACTCACTTTAAAACTTAAAAACTTACAATTTTACGCTTCTAGATCACCAAAACGTTTTTACGTAGAAACTCATTTTTAACACAACAGAAGAAAAGTAGTGTTGCAGAGAGAGAGTGGCAGCTCATATGTAGTAATTGCTTTGCTTTGCCTTGTCCCGCACTCTCTCTGTAGTCTGTACAGGAATGAGTAAGGTTGCGAGGAACAATAACTACATGCATGTCTAGCATATATTACGTATACATTATTTTTGTTTAAATATCTTTTAGCATAGCGTGAGATCTAGGACATAATAGAGTACCTGGTTGTATTTTATTATAAAATTAGATACAGTAAAAAAATATAATAACAATAATTTTCATTACAATGTCAATTGTACACGACAACATTTCAATTAAGTTTATAATGATCTTTCTACACTTACTGTTGCAACTGGTAAAATCAAACCTAATTCCAAAAGCAAATAAACTTATGGATATGACTAATACACTTTTGTCTCCACCTTTATTCGAGACACTACATCAATTCCTCTCAATCCATAAAATCTCACAACATCATGATTAAACTCAACAAGCTGAATGAAAAAAATAAATTCGTTACTTTTTTTGTCAATTATTAAACAAATAATGAGTTGTGGTATAGTAACAAAATATCCTTATATTATTTGTAGTAGGTGTTGTGTACACATATATATGGGGTATTTTTCTCCTCCCAAATATTACCCCGGTCCTGTGACATGGGCAATATGACCCGGCTCCGTCTAATTCTATGGCCTGTGCTGTGGTCACCCCCTAGATCCGCCATTAACACCTCCTATCAAACAAGGACTTCAACTTTGCATATATCTTAATACTATAAGATCAACAAATATAGGATCATCGAAATTTGAAAACAAATGCTCCCAAGTTATCAGAGGCCCTAATACCATGCCGATAAAACAAAACAAAAAGTATAGTAATACGAAGAAATTAACTTAGTTTTCGCGAAACCTATAACTAGCTAGTCCACAGACAGCAGAGATAATACTCTTCAAAGTCTCCATGCACAAACCCTACTGTGAAGGCTAGTAAGGCAGGATTAGTCTCAACTTGGTTAATTACAAATACCCCCATAGCCCACTTATATATTATATACAATCAACAAAAACACCTTCACGTTGCATGACTAAGACAGGCACCGATGGAGGCCAGCGCATGCATGCATGTCGATTGAGATACACATTAATGACCTAATCCTTTCACAAAATCCTTTTGCCATGTGGGCATGCTTTCGTCAACTCTAATAATTCTGAATTAATTAACTTCGATGTAGAGCGTCATGGGAACACAAGAGTCAATCACTATAATCCCAAGTGGCCAAATTATTTCTCAACGGTAATCATAAATGACAATATTAATTAATAATCCAGGCTCCCAACTGTACGTTGTGAAATTCAGGAAAATAGAAAGGAAAAAATGGAATAGAAATAGAGAAACTGATAAATTCCGCCGTAGCCGCCGGTGTGTTCCGATAAGAGGATGGGCTGCCCATCCGTACTAATATCCGATCGCCGTGGCTTGCGGCTGTTGGCTGTTCTTCACCATCACCGCAGTAGTTAGGTTGTGAAGTTGAATATCTTTCCTTTTTATGGCTATGCTATGGATAGGGTTTTTAATTTTTATTTTAATGAAATGACATTGACGTTGAAGGGACAATGAATTTTGGTGCTTCGAATTGCCAGATTCATCACACTAATTTGAGTTATAAGATGAGGGTTTTACAATGAATTCGGTGAAGTTTTTTAATTTTATTTTTTGTCATACATATTGTTAAACGAAAAAGATTCATGGATGTCACAGGTGTCGATGCTTCTCTACATGGACTTCGATTTTGCTTGGAATTGTGTTCATTTTACTCATTTTGTGCGCCCGTAAGACCATCCACAATGTGGGAGGGTGGGAAAGGTGGGAAAAGAGGGAAAAGGGGGAAAATGAGAGGGTTTGGTCACAATGTTGGTGTGGGAAAAAGGGGTAATTGGTTGAACACTTTTTTTCGTAAAATCAATTTATAGTTGATTTCAACACTTTATTTTTATATAATGATCATTATTTTTACATAGTTAGTGATAATTAATGAATACGAACATTTTGATATAATTTTTTCCTAATTTGGACATAATTTTTTTCATCACTAATTAACGTCATTAATGACGAAATCGCAATAATTTATACAAGAAAGTTGTTACATTGATAGTTGAACATAAACATAATTAAGAAGAAATAAAAGCAAACAAATAAACACTAAACCCTAAAAACAAACACTAAACCATTAAAATAATAATAAAAAAATAAAATAAAAAACAAACTGAAGTGGGCCCCACCCCTTCCCTTTCCCCCCACCATTTGTCTCATCTGGTGGGTTTTCCCACCCACTAAACCCACAAAACTCATTTAATCCCCTATTCCCCCCCACATTGTGGTCACATTTCCCCTTTTTCCCACAAAACCAACCCACACTGTGGGTGGTCTAAGCTTGAACGCTGCAGGTTTGGGTGTCCATTAGTCCTCCGATGGTCAAGTAATGAGTATTTTTAAGAGATAAACGTTTTCGCAGCTAGTTAGAGAGATAATTAGAATATCTTAAATGAAACTACTTTTTTTCTCTATGTACAGTTGGAAGGCCATGGCATTTGATGCTCCATACGTTTCTCGGGTGGTGCACTTGTGCACCTTGACGTCGAAGTACTGTTGCATACCAAAGTAGCATCCAACTGAGCATTGTACTACCGGTTGTTTTGTTGATGGCGCATTCTGTCCCACCTAATATCGACTGGTCCTTTTGAGTATAGTAAGCCAACATTGGAGTTGAGATTTTCATAGACTGACTGACCCACCGATCGATCATGTATTTCAATGAATAGTTTATGCCAAGGGATATTGCAATTTAGACACACGCCCTTCCAAAGTTGTTTATAGCATATGATAAGTTGATGTTTAAGGAATTGTGCCATTGATGGCTTAAATGAAAATTTTATTTAGTCATATTCCCATTTTCATATTTGAAGTTAGAAGTTCAGGCCCTTATTGATGGTAGAGTTGAAATAGAAAAAACAAAAAACAAAAAAAAAATCCACCTTGTTTGTTGTCACTTGTCAGTAATTCTGTATCACTCAAAATCAGTAGTTTGGGCCAAGAGGTTAGGCTCCAAGTCACAGACTTGGGCCAACTGTAAAGCCTTATGAGTTTCAGCCACAATCCAGAGCCTAAGACCCTCCCAGATTCCAAGTATAGCATAGCCCAAATCATAATGGATTGTTGACAGCAATGAGACACGAAATATGGGTATCCACATTTGGTTACTTGGATTACTAAATCGAGTTATGTTTAATCACAAAAAAAAATATCTCAAATTACTAAAACAGGTCATATTTAGTCACTCTTCCGTTAGCTTCTGTCCAACTCCAATCACTCAAGTTACTTTTTTTTATGAATGCCACTCGAATTAATGAAATTGGAAGGAAACTAACAGAAGAATGACTAAATGTGACATGTTTCAATAATTCGAGACCAAAATTGATGTTAATTTTACCAAAATTGATATTAATTTTTTCTAGTAACTAAACATGTCGTGCCATTTACCCCACGAAATATATTATCCACAAATTACCAAATCAAGGACGAGTCAAACTGGTCGAAGTTCAAAACACTGTTGGTAAATGGTAAATACAAGCGTCGTCGACTATGGCATTATCACCCGATTTACAAAGCCGGAAAGCAACCCAAATATAACTCTCAAATTTCAGGCACCGGAGAAACTCAAGCCGTCGGAAAGTTGCACATCGTAGACACGAATGACAGACTACGTTTCATGATAAATAAGAAAGCCGCATTGAACCAACTTCAGTTTCCCCCAAAGCATGAGAGAGCTGTAACAACACTTTCTGTACAAACAAAGGCCATCCAGAAACAATAACCAGCGCCTTCAGAGAAAAAAGGGAGGATTTGCGGACACCTAGTGAGCACTGACGAGAAACGGGTGCTGACAGACTCCGCATTCAATTGTCTCTGAACCTGAGCTGGGGACCTGAACCTGCAATTTTGGTAACAGTGGTGAATTTGAATCAGTAATCGTAATTAACAAAGAACGTGTTGGAGTTACAACGAAGGACACCAAACTCGGGTTTTGGACCTGGAGATGGACGGTGCAAGTAGGGCAAGCGACTTCCCTCATTCGCTTCCCAGATGATCCATCAGACGATTTTGATCCCGAGGATGTCTTTCGATTCCTCTCCATCTCCTCCTGTCATAATGTTTCATATGCGTTAGCCTGACAATGCAGACAAGTGAAGACTGCAGAAAGAGATGGGATTGTTAGTTTGTTACTCAAATTACCTGAAGTTTCTTAGCGAGGTCCTCATGGCTAATTAATCCTGCAGGTTTACTGGATGCTTCTTTAGCATTGGTCAACCTCTGAGTCACTTCAGCCTGCAAAAAGAGTTGCGATACCGTACTAAAGATTCAGCAAAAATTATATATGCATTCACGAAATACCCCTTTTCAGCACCCTTATAAAAAAAAAAATACCCCTTTTCACTATTCAGCACTATATGTCCACAGAGGGTACCAAACAGTTTGGTCAACAACGGAAATATAATCCAAAATAAAAAGGCTGTTGAATATCTTTTCCAGTATCTTCAGAGCACCAGAACTTATACAAGCTTGTAGTGCAGATGGCATTTGTGTTATATTTCTTTCCGAAAAAGCATGTATAACATAATAATAATAATAATAATAATAAGAGGGAGAAGGTAAATCAAACTAAACAGGAAGTATGAGCTCAGAAATCACATCTTTCCCTCTCTTCAGAATATTTGTATGTCGTAACATGAGCATCAAAATTTTCACCTATATGCCTAGAAACAAGGACAGAATCAGGGCTAAATGCCTGTGCATATAACTATGACTGATATCTTACACCTATCAAGCTTCATTACCAAAAACATGCCGGACACAGATAATGAAAAGCCACATATCACTGGGAGTAAGAAAGGTGCAGATTATTGGCAAATCGACCGAACTTACGAGGCACCGGTCACAAACTCTAACTGGCTGTGCATTCTCCTCAGCAGTAAGAGCAATTCTTCCATGTGTACATTTATCACAGAATACATCCCCACAGTTTCTGCAATGGTGCTGTTTAGATGTTCCAAAGAGAACCAGAGTTAGATTCACCACAAGGCATGCATAGGTTGGAAAATGCAAGTTCAACAACCAAGAAGAAGAAAGAAAATCACCCTTCGAATGAATGCATTAAAATCAGTCCCACATCCTGTACACTTCTTCACAGCTTCATCAGGGACCTAAGGAACACGTACAGGTAAGTAGTCAACTAAGAAATTCGGAACTTCTAGCAAGCAGCCTAACAGATACACTTTTTATTCTGTTTTGGGTGTGGATAATGAGATGTACACATTCTTACCCAATGATCTTTCTCTTCATTAGCAGGCTTTATGAAGTTCATCCAATCACCAAAACCTTTCTTCCTCTCTGCAGTCTGCTCAGACATCTTTGAAAGATCAGAAGCCTTGGGTCTCTCCCCCATTTCCTTCAGCTGCACACATATGTCGCCAAATAATTAACCAGACTACTAAAGAATGCAATAACAAGCAGAAGAAACTTTGTCCATCAATCAAGTGAGACTATATAGTCATGGAAAATGAGCAATGAGCACTGTTGTGAACCAACCTGCACGGTTGCAGCAGTCACTGTGTCAAGAAGTGTATTGGTTGTGTAGCTATTTGATTGCAACCTTATGCGCCTTGGTTCAACATCCACAGAGCTCTTGGACCAAAAGGCAAAAGTTGACGAGTCCATTTTCTTTGGATTAAAGAACGAAACCACAGTAATAAGTCAATACGGCAAAGTTGAAGCTATATTAAGAGATCAAATTCTTTTTTTGAAACAAGCTTCCTTACATCGCATCTGGTGATGTTCTCAAGGGGATAGATTCTGAGTGTCCGACTGGTATTGGGATCTAGCATCTTAATTCCATCCAAACCAATCTGCACGAGAAATACAAAAAGCATGAGCAAAAATGTCTGTTCAGAATTAGGGAGACACTCACTAAATTAACTCAAATTAAAAGCAGAAATCTTATTAGATTAGAAGAAGATGAAGACAATTGAACATGCTAGAACTATTTGTTATCGCACTTGTACAAGTTTCTATGGTAAACAATTTCAAACCTCATCATTAACACAAGTACGAAGCATCATACAACACAATATCAAACCACTTGGAAACGAAAATTAATCAGGAATAACATAACCCTGCAAAACAGCAGTAGTTCTCCAGAATACATCATGTTATACTATCCATCAAACTTGTAACAAAGCATAGTGCTTGTACCGCACTTAATTTCATCAATAGAATCTTTCAATTCAATCAGAAAAAAATTGCTCTCTAACCAATGCCCCAGGACCCAAATCATTCATTCGCAATTTTCACACAATTTAAAAAAGAAGCCTCAATCCTTTCATTCAGCAAGCCACTAAAACTAGCTACTTTAGGACCTCCAGAAGATATGATCTAGCTGACACAACGACCATGAAGCCATTAACATAAAACAGAATCAAATAGAATCACCCTGCATGTTCTGAGCAAGAAAACATTGAACTCCCATAATTCTATGCAGCGGATACTTAACCAAAAGGGCAAACAAAATTGTAATGGGGCTGAAAATAATATGCCATGAACCAAATACCTGCTAATGATGAAAAACTATCCCCATGCATTGAGTAATCCATTGGATAAATCATCTCTATTGTACTACTAGTCGATAGAATATCCAAAAGACACCAACAATATAATACCTGGCAAAGCACATCCATGGTGCTCTGGCCTCCACTTTCAGCCAGAAGCTTAACCCTGAACTTCTGCACCCCACCTTTGACATCTTCCTGAGTATCCATCTTAGGCACTGCCCTCACGATCTTAGGAGAATTCAAACCAGAACCCGAACCCAAAGAAGAGTCCTTTGAGCTAGGGACATTAATGGCTCTTCCATAATCATCAAACATACCCCAGGTTGAAGATTTCGGTGCCGTCCCTCTCGCCCCATACGGCTCCACCTTCCCACCTTGATAAGCAAAAACACCATCGCCATATCCACTATCCCGCTCCATTTCGGACCTCCCTTCCGACTTCCTTCCATACGAATCCATCCCCAAATCAGACCGACTCCGATTATAGATCCCATACTTATCGTCAAGATACCCAACGCCCTGATCAAACTTGGGCGAATTCTCATATTGGTTATCGTACAAAGGCGGAACAGACGATCCTACCGAATTAAGAGACGCATAAGACATATAGGGCGCGCCGGCAATCGCATTTGAGGCAGGCGGTGGCGGGGGAGGGGCAGCCGCATAGCTGGCACCATGCGTCTGATGGTGATCGAACGGCGGGAAGTACGATTGCTCCGGGGGATGCTGTTGCTGGTATGCAGATCCATGCGAGTCGTAAGGCGGGAACGCCGGCTGCTGAGCTGACGGCGGAGGCGGTGGGTTGAAGGAGGATTGGGAATTCAACGGAGCTGATGCCGGTTGGGAGTACGAGGGAGCTGTGGGTGGGTGGAGGGCGGGATCGGGATTGGAGGAGTAAGGAGGCGGAGGAGGGTAAGATTGAGGAGGATAGGCCGCAGAGTAATCGGAGGGAGGGTAGCTGGCGGAGAACGGCGGCGCCGACGCCGTCTGGTGGTGATCGATCGGATTGGGATTGGGATTGGGATTAGGGTTTTGAAAGGTGGGGAACTGGTAGTAGGAAGCGTAATCGCCCTGGTGCATCGCTGATTCTTCGAATTGCAGAGATTGGCAATTGGAGAACTCCTGCTATTAGCTTTCTCTTGGCTTCCACGAGACGATGACGAGGGAATTGGAGAAAAGGAGGGAATGGACAATGGAGAATTAGTTGGTGTTCGGGAAGAATCGATTGCGTGCAGATGACAACACGGTGACGGTGAGGTTCGAGGATCCTGCTCAACGGTTCCGCCACGTCACCTTCACTTCTTTTTTCACGATAATTTCTTTTCCTTTTTAACTACGAGATGTGTTTCCGGGTGTAGATCATGGGCCGTGGTTCTTTTGGACCACGAGTGTGGCCCAATACTGATATCAGAAATTGGTTTCCTATTTAAACCCAAGGAAGACTACTCGGCCCACGATCAGCCATTTATCTGGTCTTAGAGACGGGATCGGTTAACTTGCTAATCCTTCTATAGGTTAGAAAAATGACACCCTCTATTAATTATAGTTAATTATAAAATTTAATTTAGGTTATATTTAATAATCTTTAAAAATTTAAAACTAATATTAATTACATTTTTTTAAACTACCATTGTACCTTATACAATTATCATCGCAACTGTACACTGAACTCATATTAATTATATTCCTTTTTTTTTAACTACCATGGCATATTTGCACTGGTAGAACTACCATTGTACTGAAAAAGATAAGTAATTAATATGAGTTTTTAATTCAGACGGATTATTAAATACAACACAAATCAATTACCTTAAAATCCTATAATTAATAGAGGGTGTTATTTTTCCAACCCCTTTAGAGATTTTTTTTTATTAGAGGGAGGCTAATCAGCCGAATAGATACCAAAACACATACAGGGACAAGGTTGCCAAACAGGAATGGAACCAGGCCAAAAACCAAAAAATCACAGAACAGACAGATAGCCAAAAGAATCTGCAGAAGCAACCAGCTGGTCTGACTAGCTGTTTCGAAGCACTTGCCTCGGGAAGCTTATCCCCATCACGTCTTCACGAAGTAATACGTCCAAGTTTGCCGGAGGATCGTCCAATTCATACGTACCGAAGGGATAGACGAGACTGTGCTTCGAGAGCCAGTCCGCGACTCTATTCCCTTCCCTGTACGTATGAACCAGTTGAACCACCCAGCCTTGAGCTAAGACACGACGAATCTGTCCAAGGATCGTTGAGTAGGGGTGTACCTGATCGGAACGTTGCTTGATCAACTCTAGGGCCAGCTGAGAATCGGATTCAAGAATCACGAACTGGCCTCCTTTCCGCCAAGCTAGCTGAAGCCCTTGCAGTATTCCCCACAGCTCTGCAAGAAGCGCCGAGCCAGTACCCAGCTTACTGCAGACTCTTAGTGTGACAAAAATAAATACGTTTGACTGTTAATTATTCACGTCAAAGACCAAAAAACATATATTTTCTTTTGTGAGAGAATGTTCCAAAATGAGGAGTACATTTTGTGAAGTTATCGTATTGCATCTATTTTTTCAACATAATGGAAGTTGAAAATAGAACGAAATGAATTCTAATAAAGAGTTATATTAGTATTGTGATTATGCACTCCCTAAAAAAAAAAGTATTGTGATTATATACGATTCAATTCCTTCTTTTTCTTTCTGGTTGTTAATCCTAAAGTTCGAGTATAAGACAATTAGTATAAAAACCGTGTAATAATACGGTAATATTCACACATGAAAATTCTTATTGTGATTTTACTAATTCAATTGTTCAACCAAATCAGTTTTGCCAAACTTCCACGGTTCCTATTTAGCTGCATGTACATGAACTTCCTAAACAATTTTTATGGAAAATACCCCCAATTAATTGTCGGAGAATTGTTTTGGTTCCTTTCCTCGTTATCTTAATTTGGTTAGAATCTTCAGCAAATCGTACCCCTTTTTTAGACTATTAAAGAGAGGAAATAGGAGACCTATTTATCCTAATTAGAAAACTAAAGGAAATTAATTCCATCCAGAACTATAAATGTGTCAGCATTTAGTAAAACAATATCCCCATAATATTTAGTTTCCATCCTCCCATCGTCCTGAATTCGTCTATTCCGCAAGCAGTACACGTACTTCCAATACAAAGAAAGATTACCAACTCAAAGACTAAACAATAAAACGTCCTATAAAGGAAGAAAACAATAATTCAACTTTCCATCCCCATTCTCCTCGTAAATAATCTTCCATATCAATCCTCCAATTCTCCAGTATATATATATATACTCACAATCAAACCAAACAAGAACACAGACTAATTAAGCTCCAAAACAACAATGGCGATCCCAAAACCCACATTGGTTCTGTCACTCTTGGCACTTTTGTTCTCTCTAACTTCCCTCTCGGCCCACGCCGGCGTCAGCATCCGGCTGGCCGGTCCAGACATCGCCGCCATATGCGACAAGAGCCTCGACCGCCAGTTCTGCCTCAACTACCTGCAATCCACCCCCGGAATCTCCGCCGCCGATCTCAAGGGCTCCGGCATCATCGTCCTCAACTCCGCACGTGCCGAGGCGTCCGGCACCGAGAGCTACTTCAAGGGCCTGCTGGCGAAGGCCGCGGGCTCCAAACAGAAGGAGGCGTACAAGACGTGCCTGAGCAACTACGACGACGCCGTCGGCAACATCGAGGCGGCGAGGGAGTCGATGAGCGGCGGCGACTACAACGGGGCCAACATCCAGGCGTCGGCGGCGCAGGAGAACGCCGACACGTGCGACGAGGGGGTGAAGGGGACGGAGCTGTCGGGGAAGAATCAGCATCTCGTTAAGGTTCTGGGGATCGTTTTGATCATTGCCAATAGGTTGCTGGGAGGTTGATTCTGCGTTTTGTTGTGGTTTGGAATTTTGTTCTTGATTTTGTTTTTTCGTAGAGTAATAATGGGACACAAATTTGCCGGGGATTTCTAGTGTTTTGTTGCATATGTAGATTTATTTACAGTGATTGGTATTTGTTCATAGCAAATTAGTATGAGATTGATTGGCTTGATCTCCATTCCATGATGGCGGTTAATTGACGGCAATTAATTAGTATGCCTTAATCAAGTGGTGCCTGATCATGAAGGTAATTAGGGAGTAGATTAATTTTGGACCATGATAGTTCGCGACTTATTAACTACTCTTAGGTGAATACTCGTCTACAGACTACAAAAGGTGGTTATGGAGTAGGATTGATTGCACCGCAATTAAATTGGTCCAAAACATACTAAACAAACGGCTGGTCATTTTTAGTGATGGCAATTTGAGCCTGTAAAGAACGTAAATGCGGAAAAGAAAAACACGACACAAGGATTACGTGGTTCATCTCATTCGATGTGAATGAGCTTACTCCGTGGAGAAGTTATGATATCTCTGCTTACTTCACTCTCTTGGTACTGCCGATTACATCATACAATTTATATAACTCTAATCAACTAACTCCTAGGGTTACACGAGTTGTGAGCCTAGGGAAAAGACACTAACACCCTTACTTAGCTAGACGGTTACGTACTATAGAATAAGGAGTCACTATACTCCCCCACAAGCTTAGACATGCAGGTTACAAATGCCCAGCTTGGAAAGAAGCATATGAAACCGATCACCGCCTAGACCTTTGGTAAACAAATCCGCCAGTTGAAATTCAGAAGAAATCTTCTGCGGGAGGATCTCATTGGATGTGACCTGATCGCGAACAAAATAACAATCCATCTCCACATGTTTAATTCGCTCATGAAAGATCGTGTTAGCAGCAATGTGCAAAGCTGCCTGATTATCACAGTAAAGAACAGTAGGACGAGGAGACAACACCCCAAGATTACTTAAGAGAGCACGCAACCAAATAACTTCACTAACAGCCCCAGTCATGGCTCTATACTCATCCTCTACAGACGAACGGGAAACAACAACCTGTTTCTTGGTGCGCCAAGAGACGGGCGCAGAACCCAGAGTGACAAAATAACCAGATGTGGAACAACGGGTGGATTGGCAACCACCCCAATCAGCATCGCAGTAAGCAGTAAGCTGCAGAGTACCACTGTATGGAAAAAGAATCCCTTGACCCGGAGCTGTTTTGAGATACCGAAGAACGCGCTCCGCCCCAGCAACATGAGCAGAAGTGGAACATGAACATAACGGCTGAGAATATTGATTGCATAAACAATATCCGACCGTGTGACTGTAAGATACTAAAGTCGGCCAACCAAGCGACGATAGGCCGCGGCTTCCTCAGCAGAGACCAACGCGGAATCCTCAGAAGGCCGAGTCAGAGTGTGTTGCTGCTTAATCAAAAACACACTGGGACGACTGCCAATGAGACCACTGTCGCGCAATAGATCCATTGTATACTTGCGCTGACAGAGAGCAATCCCAGTACTGGACCGAGCCACCTAGATGCCTAAGAAATACTTGAGTGGACCCAAGTTCTTGATGCCAAATTGTTGATAAAGAGTATCCTTGACCAGCTGAATGAAACTCATATCATCACCTGCGAGAATTACATCATCAACATATATGAGAGCAACCACATAGGAACCATGATGACGCCGAACAAAGAGAGAATAGTCAGCTCGAGAACGTTGAAACCCAAGCTGCGTCAACTTAGTCGAAAACTTCGCATACCAATTTCGTGAGGCTTGCCTAAGCCCATAAATGGATTTGTGAAGGCGACAAACCCTTGTGTCATCGGGAGCACTAAAACCCGGGGGTATCTACATATACACCTCTTTGTCAAGATTGCCATGGAGAAAGGCATTATTGACGTCTAACTGATGAACCGCCCAGCCACGGACAGCAGCGACAACGAGCAGACATCGAACGCTCACTAACTTAGCAACCAACGCAAATTTTTCATGGTAATCGATCCCTTCAGTCTGAGTAAAGACCTTGGCGATCAGTCTGGCCTTGTACCGATCAATGGTGCCATCAGGGTTGAACTTGAGTTTATACACCCACTTCGAGGCCACAACTCGCTTGCCAGGAGGGAGACTAACCAAGGTCCAAGTACTGTTGCCCACAAGTGCGTCGATCTCATGCTGCATGGCTATACGCCACTCTTCATACTTCACAACATCATTGAAGTGAGTGGGTCCGACATGACTGGAAATGGTGGCCAAGAAACTACGGTGTCCCACCGAAAAACGCTGATAATCAACATATTGCGCCATCGGGTAGGGAATGTTAGAGGGAGGCAGCTCGACGTCAAACGCATCAAAAAGACGAGGGACCTTGCGCGTCGGTCACTTTTGCGAGCGCCAGCATTAGCAGGCCGCACATGTGATGCAGATGGGGAGGTAGCCAGCTGCGGCACAGGAAGCGCCAAGCTGGATTGGTCTTCGCTTGAGGATGACGCGGGCGGAGCTTATGAAGGCCCGTGTGAGGACGACGTTGCATGGTCATGCAAAAGGGAGGTCATTTCTTCATCAAGAGGAACTGGTGGAGTAGCAGGAGGACGAGACTCAACAGGGGCTGCCTCACAAAATGGGAAGACATCTCCGACAAAGTGAACATCTCTGGACATGTAAAAGGTCCTAGATGAAAGATCAAAAAGTCCATAGACCTTTTGTGAGGCTGGATAACCCATGAAGACCGACCGCCTTCCTCGTTCACCAAACTTGGAAACACCGTTATGCGTGTCCTTCCCGTAGGCCAAACATCCAAGAACATGAAGGTGAGTATAAGAGGGCTCCTTGCCCAATAAAACCTCATAAGGTGTTCGACCACGAAGAACTTGGGACGACATTCTGTTAATGAGATACGTGGCAGTCAGAATGCACTCTCCCCAGAAAGTCAAAGGAAGATTAGCACGAAACCACAAGGCTCGAGCTGTTTCAAGCAAATTTTGACGCTTTCGCTCCACTACCCCATTCTGTTGAGGCGTATCGGTACATGATGTCTGCAGCAGAATACCCTGATCCTCGTAGAAAACTCACAAACCAACTGTCTGAAATTCCAAGTCATTATCAGCCTGAATCCCTGCCACCTGTTTCCCAAACTGAGTTCTAACCATATTGACAAACATTTTCAAATACCCTTCCACATCCGACTTGTGGGACATCAAATATACCCAAGTTGCTCTGCTAAAATCATCGACAATTGTGAGGAAATAGCGAGCTGCATTATGAGTTGGAGTCTTAAATCCACCCCATATATCAACATGAATGAGTTCAAAACAATGACCAGTCTTAATTGAATTCTTAGGGAATGGTAAACACGTCTGTTTAGCTCGTATACAAGAGTTACAAACACTACTCTCGCACTTATTCTAAACTGAACGAAATAAACAAGGAGTCTTCTTTTGCGACGGATGACCCAACCGCGCGTGCCACAGCTCCCCCATTCCCTTATCGCCACTGGCTGTCAAGGAAAGCGAGCGTTGGGTGCCAAAGAGCTGTAGATAATACAGGCTGTCACGAAGTTGTCCCGTCGCAATCGTCTTCCTGGAGTGTAAGTCCTGAATGACGCAAAAGTCCCACAAGAATGTTAAGGCAACATCAAAATCTTGAGTGAATCTGCTGACTGACAACAGGTTGCATTTAAACAACGGGAGACTGAGTATACGACTAAGGTTCATCTCATTAGACAAACTGGCTTCACCAATTTTCTTAACTGCTCGACTGTCCTCATTCGGTATACTAATGGGAAAGTACCCTGAGACATCAACCAAGTTCTCTAACACTGGTTCATCATTCGTTATGTACTCATTGCATCCCGAATCAATGATCCATTCAGACCCGCCTAAGAGATTACTTGCCATATGAACCTGAGGCTCGGATGAGGAAGCATGTTGCTAATGTCCACTCGTTTGATTGGGGAAGGCTAGGAGCTGCTGAACTTGCTCGTGATTCAACCCAGGAATGGAAACTCTCGTCCCAATGGATGACTGCGCCGCACGGTGTTTGATGGGTCGAGACTTCTCTCGATCTGTGCGCTCCTTCTCTGTCGAACGTGGCATGCGCTCCGACCATCCAATCAGCTCGTAGCAACTCTCTCGCGTGTGCCCTTTCTTTTGGGAATGAGAACACCGAGGAATCTCCTTTTGTTCTGTGCCCCAAACCTTCTCTTCCCTTCTATTCAGGTCCATGGTCAGACGATCATGATTGGCTTGGAACCCAGCTGTATCCACTTGCGGACGGCGGCTTGCCGTAATCTGTTTATGCTGCTCCTCTGTAGCTACCGGCATGTACGCCTCAGCAAGTGGTGGTGTAGGTTTCATAGATAAAATCTGTGTTTTCACAGTGGCAAAATCATCACCAAGTCCCATGAGAAAATCAAATAATCTGTCATTCCCGAGATTGCTTACCACCTTCTTCTCAACTCCACATGTGCATAGACCACACGTACTGTTAAATACCCGTGTCTTATCCCATTCCACTTATACTGTGTTCGAGTGAAACTTATTCAATTCTAGATGCAGAGGAATTGGTTCGACTAAACAAGACAATTCTCTAACACTTCTATTTCAATCGAAGAAGAAAGCAGAAAAGCGAAAGGAGCAGAAGGCAAACAAACAACGAGCTACGCCCAGATTGCGCGGAGTTCCTGGCAGAAGCCCCAACTCCACGAATCCAGACACAGAACTTAAGAACCCAACCCAACTATCCCAAGAACTAACCAGTTCTTCCTGATAGCGGAAATCGTTGCCTTCTCCTTCAGTCTTGTGCCATTTTTAGAGATCTTCGGCATGCATCTTCGACCTGTCTCTCTCTTCATGAATGTGAAGACCGTTGGACAGAGTCTTCGGGGAGAAATGATTTTGATGGAGAATGTCTGGGAAGTTGATGTTCCAGGAAGCTTT